ACGGGTAGGTCAGATCGGATATGAGCATATTGAAAACGGATAAATTGTTCGATCTGATTCATATTTAATACATATAAAAAATGAGTTAACCAACAAGAATATGACTTCTTGAAAATGGAAAATTCCTAATCTCCCAAATTTGAGGAATCCTAATTTTTCATTCTGAACGAAAACGCTGTTCAAAATTCGAGTATATTATACTTGATATAAATTATATCGTTCCAACATAATATACTGGAGCACTGGTGCTCCAATCTCCGGTATATTCTCCAGTACATTATACTGGAAGTTCATACACAGGTGTTGGAGTTCCAGCATAATAAGCTGGAAGTTCATATACAGGTGCACCGATCTCCAGTATATTATACTGGAACTTTCCGTATTGCAGCAAAATAGTGGCTGTTTTTCAATGACTTTGCAAACGCTGGCTATTTTTGAATGACCAGTCCGAAAACTGGCTAGCCCGTGCTATTTTTACTCCTAATTTGAGTCCTTGCAAATATAAAAAGTTAAATCCATTAGTTAAGTGAATAATATGAATCCATATTTGACTTTTTTTTTAAAAAAAAAATTCAACCTATTTTTAATAAATAATATAGATGAATAACTATTTTTTTAAAATCCATTTCTGCTTTTCAGAATTCAGCACAGGTGAAATAATAAAAGATAGAGATAACGTGGAAAATGTTTGTAAATACGTAGTAACTTAATATCAAACAAATAATGCACTTTCCTATGGTGCTGACATACCAAATGATACAACACGAGCAAGTAGGTTGGCAAATTGGTCAAAACAAGACTCAATATTCAACTTGTATTATATGCTATATATCCAAAATCTAGCACCCTTTTTAATTTTTCTTTTCTTTTATCCATATATACATGTTTCTTTCTAGTTTCCCTAGGGTTGGCTTGACCTTGACTAGTGTAAAGAAAGTCAAAATATGATGGGCCGACATAAGGCAATTTAACTTACTTTATTGAATATACATGTCCTACTGAACCAACCACTTGTGTTACTAGTACCAATTTAACAACTATAAGTAAGCTGTTTAGAAAAAGAAAGAATGAAAAAATCCTATATTTTCTCCTCACCTTCCTACAACTTGGTCAATTCTTAGTATTGTATTTAAGCCTCTATTTTCATTGTGCTTTCATCAGATTTGAGAATAAGTGTTAAATTAATTACACCTGAAGAAGGATTTTAAGCTTTTTGGATTTGTTGGAATTTTATTAAGAAGAAATTAAAGCAATGGAATTCACAAGTTTGGTTGATACTTCCTTGGATTTGAGTTTTAGACCTCTTCCAGTTCTTGATAAAGTGCTGGTATGTGGAGATTTTTGGATTCTATGGCTCAGCTCAAATGAATATATGCTTTTGTGGTTGTATTTTGCTTAATATAGATGTTCTTTTTTTGCTTTCAGAAACAAGAAGTTCAGAGTAATTTCACTGGATTGAGCAGAGACAATATGCTGGTGAAAGATGAGGTTTGTAACTTTTATTCTTGTTCACTAGATTATATTGGAGAAGGGTAGCCTTGGCATAACTGATAAAGTTCACGGATTCGAGCCATGGAAACAGCCTTTTGCAAAATACGGGATAGGATAAGGCTGCATACAACATACCCTTGTGGTCCGACCCTTCCCGGAACCTGCACATAGCTGGAGTTTAGTGTACCAGGCTCGATTATATTGGAATAATTGTGAAGATTGGCTGTTTATAAGTTTCTTAATTTGTTTTATTTTGTCTTGTGTTCATTCAGGCAGGTGATTTGTTGGAGGAACTGAACAGAGTGAGCAGTGAAAACAAGAAACTAACAGAGATGCTCACAGTGGTGTGTGAAAATTACAATGCATTAAGAAACCAACTAATGGAGTATATGAACAACCAGAATAATGGTGTAGTAGATGATAGTGCTGGATCAAGGAAAAGAAAAGCTGAAAATATCTCCAATCCCAACAACAACAACAACAACAAAAACAACAACTTGGATATTGTTTGTGGACGTTTATCAGAAAGCAGTTCAAGTGATGAAGAGTCTTGTTGCAAGAAACCTAGAGAAGAGCACATAAAAACTAAGGTTTCTGTCGTTTCTATGAGGACAGAAGCATCTGATACCTCTCTTGTAAGTCCATCATATACTCTTCATACAATATTTTATGTGACAAGTGAAAATATTTAGAATTCGTAATCTTGAAATGTGTAATCATCTCACCTAAAAGCTTAAACGAACCTAATTATATCTTCAGCACGCAACTTCTAATGAGGTAAAGCTAACATATTTGCAGATTGTAAAGGATGGTTATCAATGGAGGAAATATGGTCAGAAAGTAACTAGAGACAATCCTTCTCCAAGAGCTTACTTCAGGTGCTCTTTTGCTCCTGGCTGCCCCGTCAAGAAAAAGGTAATATACTCCATAGATCAAGTTGGGTCTGGGAGGGTAGTGCATACGCAGCCTTATCCCTAAGGTAGAGAGGTTGTTTTCTTTGACCCTCGGCTTAGGCCTGAGGAGAACATGAATGTACTTAATTAGGACGCATAATATGTTTTCGGAGTCCAGCAACCGAAAAGAGTCAATTAGGAGTATTGTAACATGTAAAACAATGAAGCAAAAATGAGCTCACTATATAGTTTTAGTATGCAACCCTGATTTCATTATTCCTCACAGCTAAAGATAGTATAATTACACTGTTTGGTTATCATATAATCGTCCATGAAAAATGAGATTAGTTACATTGATAATAAGACAGGTTTCTTGCTACAACAGACTAGAAACACAAATAGTGTCGAAGTTCTTTACATGGTCAGTGTAGATAAGTTAAATCCTACTACTATTTCACAATTCTACTACTATTGTGGCTAGATATGTTAAGCTGTGCGGCATTTTTCAGGTGCAAAGAAGCATAGAAGATCAGTCAGTTGTGGTGGCAACATATGAAGGAGAGCATAACCATCCAGTAAACCCTTCAAAACCAGAGGCTGCTGCTGGTACTGCTACTTCCACCGGCAGCCGTTTAAATGTGAGAACTATTGGGGGTACTACAGCTTCAGTCCCTTGCTCTACCACTCTCAATTCATCAGGACCAACCATTACTCTCGATCTTACTGAACCTACAACAGTAGCAAAAGGCGATATCATGAAGATGAGTAGCAGTATTAGTCCTACAGGTGGCAGTAGCCAAAGAACAACAGAAGGTGATCACTATAGTAGGCCAGAGTTTCAACAGTTCTTGATAGAGCAAATGGCTTCTTCATTGACTAAAGATCCAAGTTTCAAAGCAGCACTTGCTGCCGCCATTTCAGGAAAAATTCTCCAACATAATAATCAAACAAGTAGATGGTAAACAAAAGTCCTGCACACCAGTCAATTTCTATTTATGGATAGGCTAGACAATTGTTCAATGTTTTCCAACTTAAGACTCATTTGAAAAGTTCTAGACAAAAAGAAACAAGTTGTTCATTGTTCAATGTAAATACAGAAAAACTGTAGCTTTCAAGACGCAAAGTTGGACTTGAAAGTGCACGTGAGAATGGGATCTTGCCATGGGCTAATTTTCAACAGCAGCCATATTGGGTCCTGCCTATGGACCAAATTTGCTCTGAGTTTTTGCTAGATTGAGACTGCATGGTCCTTAACATTTAAGTTGTTGAATTTGACAACGTTGGACAATACTGAAATGAGATTAAGAAATATTCAATTTGATTTGCTTCTGGATGCTCAGCTAATTGTCTATGAGTTCAAGTTAATGTACAGTGACATAGTACAATTCTATTACAATATCAAATTAAGTTACATATAATAATTTGGGATAACAAGCATGATCTAGTAATCTGAAAACTATGGTATGTAACCTGTTAGGGGTCGTTTGGTTGGAATATGATTTATACCGGTATAAGTTATCCGGTATAAGTTATATTGGGATAAGTTATGCTGTGATTAGTTATACTGGGATTGTTGTTTATTCATTGTTTGGTATGTTGTATATAGAATGACAATTGCATAATTTCTAAGAAGAATGTATAAGTTATACCGGTGCTAATTACCCCACTTTCTATAAGGTATAAGTTATCCTAGTGTTAAAATTAACACCGGGATAACTTATACCTGATTTGCTAACCAAACAAAGTATTAAGGTGATATTAAACTTTTAGCCACCCTTATACCTTCTTATACCTCATACCAAACGACCCCTTATAGTATACTATTATGATTCTGAAGTAACCAATGAGATAGTCGTCTCTGATTCAAGCCACTTGCATGAAAAAGTACATCTCAGTTGGTTCAACTCCCTAACAAGGTCTGGTCTTATTCTTTTAGTTTTTGATGTCTTAGTTGGCGCCAGTTGGTATCCAAACTAACTATAGGCTTGGCAACCCGATGCATTATGCTCCCGCTATGTGCGGGGTCCGAGAAAAAGTCGGATCATAAGAGTCCATTGTACGCAATGTTACCCTGTATTTCTGCAAGAGGCTGTTTCCACCGTTCGAACCCTTTTATCTCCTGGTCATATGACAACAACTTTACCAGTCACGCCAAAACACCACTACAAAGTACAAACTATCTATAGGCTTGTGGTTCACAAAATCCCGCATGTATATGTCAAAGGACCTGTCTTCGTTGATTATGTGCACCATAGGGAGGAGAACAAGGCAATGAAATCAAAGTCATGCTCAAGTCCACCAGCTACTTAAAGAGTTCTTGATTTTTTTCTTTCATTTTTCTCTATTCTTCCAGTAAACGCAGACTTTTACAACTCAAGCAATTGGCTGTTCAAAATATCCGTCTTTGATACCTTATATTCCATTATCAATCATAATCACATCATATCTGCAGTTTCTCACCTCTACTCATTGTATCCGAAGGCTCCTACTTCGAAAATTTTTGCACTATTTACTGACAAATCATTCGGTTTGCTCCATCCAGAGAGGACATACAGTGTTCTCAAGATCCATTCACGGGGAAAAAATAAGAAGGAACAACAACAACCCAGTAAAATCTCACTAAAAATAAGAAGGAAATTGCTCTTTATTGCCAAGAAATTGTTTTAATCCTAAAAGACATAGCTTATGGCTAAAATTATGTTGGCTGATTCAAAATTTCAAACAAAAAGAAAATGAAACTTAAACAATCGTTCAAAATATAGATAAGTCTGATTTAAAAAAGCAATCAAGAACTACCCTTAATACTAGAACTTTATCAAACAGACTCTTCCTCAGGAATGCAAAAGCAAGCAGCATCAGTTCCTTGATGTTTGGAGCTGCTGCATCTTCTATACACTCAAGAGAGTGGCTTTGCACGAGTAGCTGGATCTTCCTTGGATTCTACTTGTATCATAAATACATAGCCGAGGACCCATAAGAAAATATACAAGAAAGGAACCCAAGAGAGGCAAGCTAGCAGACTCAAAATGCTGCCCACGTACTGAGGATCTCTTATTACTCCAAAAGGAAACTCTGTTACCCAAGGGATATTCTTTCCAAAGCGTACACCATAATAAGTGCCTGATTCTCCCAACAGTTGGTATACCCTGCAGTTTTGTAAATTATTACACCCATGAAACCAGAAAGTGTAAAGAACGTGATTTATATAAGGAGGCGTGATTCTTATAATCCTTTTCTACTTTGATAAATGATTCCCATTATCTTTTATTTGACTACTATAAGCCTTTCACACTCTATTTCAGTGGACTTTAGTCTTTAGATCAATGCTTGTACAAAGGTACTTAAATGTATGATCAAAAGAAACCTATACTTAACAATTACGTTTTAGGTTAGGTAGTTTACATCATACACATTACTCTTCTATGACCCAAAATAATCTACATAATATTAAATAAGATTGGTCGGAAATCAAGCCAGAGCTAAATATCCAAAATTTAATCTGTATCCCATCCCAAGTGGACTTCATCAAATTATCCTTGATTTATATAGTCTTCCGGAACAAACTCCCGTTCATATTATTAACTGCCAACTAATATTTTTTAAATTTTTAATATCACTGAGGATTACTGAGGACATGGCCCTTGACAGGGAATTATGGAGGTCGAGCATTAAGGTTGTAGGTTAGGGGAAAGTTGTGAATATTTCTACAGCACAATAGAGTGAGACTAGCTAGTTAGGAGTTAGACTAAAAATGTCATTGGTCGTTGCAGGGCTTATATTATTCCACTGAATAGGAGAAACCATGTCATAAATGCTTCCCCTCAGTGAAGAATGATTAAACCGGCTCCCAGTGAATTGAAGACAGTGGGGGAGGAGAGGCAATCCCTTTCCTCCACGCATTAAAAATTTCTAACAATTGACAAAATCCTAGCTATCTCATTTGTCAATCAACGCATCGAAAAAACTACCTGTAAATTTCAAACTAGTTGGTGTCGGCTATATCAGTCTTTGATATTTAGCTCTAAAAATCTATGGATAATGGGCCAACTCCTCTACCATTTCTCCACTTACATACTTGGTTCACTAGCTTGTATTCGAATCGAACTCGTGTGATCTGCTACACATTCCACACTATACTTTTTTGTCATTGAATCAAAGCCCTGGAGACAATCAATCCTTTGTTTCTATTCAGCTTGTTTAGGCCAATTACATTCAAATCCTAGATATGTCATTTTTATTTTAGTAAATTCAAGAATTTAATTTCTAGCAAACAGCACTAGACCAAAGAATATGCTAAACAAAATTAACACGATCTTCATTAAAAGAATATCGGTACAATGTTGTCCAATGACAATAAACATAGAAAGAAAGAAGATGAATTACGTATATAAAGAAAAGGGTCAAGGGATTTGAAGCTCGAGGAAACTGACCTGAAATTAAGGAACTGGCCAAAAATGAAAAGGGGCCAAAAATAAAGTGGAGGCGGCCATGAAAATGTGGAAACGGATAAAAGGGAGATGAACTGTATCAACTTTATAACGTGAGAGACCATAGCCATTCTTTTGCAAGGGTCACGTCCTCTTCCGCACAGATCGACCCATGTTTGAGGGTTTGTCCAGAGAAAGTAGTAGAATGGAAATGGTGATATCACTCCCATGCATGCCCATAACCCCATTTCTTTTTGCTTCTGTTTTTGTTCCTATTGCCTCGTTCCCTTTTTGGAATCTCTACTCCCAAACAAAGCTGGCTCCGACCTCCAGTGCCATGTCCTATGGTTGCACAAAAGGTTTTGGGCCGATTTGTGTAAGGATCCCAAACTTGATATTGGCTACTGTTGGGCCCAATTGTGGATAATGTCCACCATCTTAAAATAATAAGAGTTGTTTGGTTTAGAGATAGGTTTTCCAGAGATTAGTAATGCAAAAATTATAATAAAAGGACTCAAAATATATGAATTGTAATATAATGATTAGCTACGCAAGGATTGTAATGTATCAATTATTAATACATTAATTTTAATGTGAGGATTAAAATATATTTTTATTTACTTATTATTAAATAAGTTGTATACATGAGGGGTTTTACCCCGGAACATTTTAGTTGTTCCAAATTGGAACTACCAATCCATGTAATACTAATCTTAATGTTGTTATTCCACCTTCTATCCCCCATATAATAATACATAGATTCCGACTAGAGGAGTATTTTTGGAATTTGAGGTATCGCGTGTAATGTAATAAGGATGAAGTCTCATTCATATAGTAATGTCCCTAGATTTTATGCAAGTATCAAAGCAAATAACCAAACACTGAATTAATGCTAGATTTTTACATTTCTCGATCGTCACTCTCAATAAATCACTAATTCGGATTACAGTAATACATGACAAAGTTTAATCTTATAGAGATGTGGTTTAGAGCAAAGAGATTTCAAGGACTTGTCACTTCTTTAAAAGACAACCTTCTTTTTAGTGGAAATATACAAGTAATTTAAATACAAAGAACATATCTCTGAAGGAAATGCTGGATCAACAAATCTGGAATATTAAGTAACTTGTTCCTCCACCACCCAAGTTTTATGTTTTAACTCTCCACCGGTCCACCCGCCATTATCTTCTCTGGCAATCTTCTGTTCAGCTACGCCATGCGGAGGACGCTTCTAAATCAACATCTTCTTCCCACCAAGTTGCAGTCTGCAGCAAGACAGTTAACCAGCATTCAAACAGATTCTCAAATCCATCGCGTAATTTACTAAGCATCTTAGGATAAGCAACGAGAAGTTTATTTGGGTAATGGGAGAAAACACAAATAAACACAAAAACTATGAAAGGATGAAGTTACTATAAAGAGACCTTGTAGCCTCTTCTGAGAAATTCAAGTGAGCTTCCTTTCTCCTCTTGCAGTCCGAGGACTCTCAATAGTTCTTCCTTGGTCTGCCATAACACGTAATGAGCAACTTATTTACCTTAAAAGTTAATTAAGAAGCACAAGAATCAGATTTATAGTTACTTCGCCAAGAGTGAAGCGAGTTGCGCTCTCTGCCACACAAACAAAAGAACCATCTGTCTGTTTCAGCATCACCTGCCAAGGCCCTGCAAAATTTAAAACAAAGTTAAAGGTTGTTGGTATTTCCATATTGGTGCAGAGACACCACATACACAATCTTACAAGTTAGCTGCAGGTGCTGTTCTTTTGTCTTTTGTTTATTTGTTTAGTTTGCAAGGTGGGGTTAATATTGCTATTTGACATATTCTCTGTTTACCAACTAAAAGATGGAGCAAGTCAATGCCCTGAAATCTGAATGATGAGTGATTAGCAGATATATTACCTGTACCTCAGACTGAATATCAGAGAACAACATTGATGATTATAATATGAAACAAAAAGTGCTGGAAATCTTTTACTCTGACCAGATGCTAATTTTCTCATTTCAAATACTTTAACTTCATTTACAGCATTTAATTTTCTATAAAAGGAAACCAGTCTTGATTTTGTAGAGTTCCACAAATAACTATAACAGGCAAAGCGTTTACATTTGACAGAATGCCGTCCTAATGTTCACAAACAAAGACAAGAATTTGAATAAGGGGTTTCATTTTCTTCTCTCATCTCACTTTCAAGTGAGAAAACAGCTCCTAGGATCAGATTTAATTTTACACTCATAATATGACCTGGACTACAGTAACCTTGTTCCGCTGGAGTAAACACCAGTGGTTGGAAATATTTACAAGTATCCTCTTATATCTTATTGTTCCACTGGAGTAAACACCAAGAAAATAATATGCACTCATGTTTAGTATCAGAGAGAAGGATATATAATTGACAAACAAGAAGAGAAGTCGATAAAAAATAGGGAAATGATGAAATAGAAGTAACAGAATCCCTAAATTAGTGTATAACCAGATGAACGAAATCTTACCAGGATATTGACGGAAGAGAGCTCCACTATAGTTCACAATATAAGGTGCCACTGCAACTGTCTTCCATTAGAAAAAGAAAAAAAAAATTATTCTTACGGAATTACAAGGTGGACAAAAGACAGATGAACATAAAACCAAGATTGCAAACTTGTCACCTTTGAGTACTCTCTTGTTCGAATATAAAAAACTGGGGTGAATTGAGAAAGAAATTGGTAATGCAATTCCTTTGGTGGAAAGCCAAAAATACCCAGGTCAGCACTGCCATTGTAAATAAACTTATTGGTTAATCAGAATACCATCGAGGAAAAAAAAAACTAATAAGAAATATCAATCAAAGGCAGGGATCACTATTTAATACCGCAAGGTGTCAAGTTCTAGATTGAAAAGGAGGCTAGGGGTTGACATAGCAATTTTTTCCTGCACATTGCCAATGCAATAGATGTCAATATCATCAACCCTTAAATAAATGCATAAAAGAAATATTTATTTGAATATATAATAAAATAGATAACAACAATAACAACATACCCAGTATTATCCCACAATAAAATAGATAAATAAAGTAAAAGGTAAATACTAAGGTCACGATAATAATAAGCTAAAAGTAATAAGCTATAGTACGTGGAAGAGCAAATATCCCATGTACGAGACAGTTCATGGTATTTCTAGAAAAAAATTAAACTAACGAAAATCAAAGGGACAGGACTCCCAGAAAAAGCTTCATGCAAGGCACTTCTAAATGACAGTTGTGTCTTTTTCACCATCTCGAAGTTGCTTCTTCATTTACTTTCTTTTCTTTATCTTTTTCCTATCCAGGGGAAGTGGTGAAATAAATGTAGTCAACACTATCCAAGAGAAGCTTGGCTGATGACACAAACGTTTGATAGACTTTCTCCCAAAGAACAAGTGACACTTGTAAGTAAGGATGACCACACATTGATACACTAGTGAGCTTGATTTACTGGAGATGTCTTGCAAATATGGAAGTGAAAAATAAGATGACTTTGACTTTCTAATACCAACAGATCTTACCACATACTTCTCAATGTACGCAAGGTCACGAGTGCTGCAGTTGATAAATATATAAAGTGTAGGAGGCTTGTCAGACTTCCAACGACCTGAGCCAATAAAGATGCATGAAGCTTTAAAGAACAGTACACATCGTATAAGCAAGAAATTGATGATCATTGCAAGAACCCGGAACCAAGCTGTTCCTTTGAGTAACTAGGCCCTTGTAAATCCTGGAGGTTTAGGTGTTAGTAAAACAAGAGTTAAAAGGAACCATCAATTTCCTTCAAAAGTTTCAAGAAAATCAAAATCAACATAATAAAAAGACAGCTAGACCCATTAAACCTAAGGGTGTAAATGCTATCAATGACAAAAACAAACTGTATGATGAAATATCGCTAAAGGAGAAAAAACTCCAGCTGATTTTGAGGCAGGATAGGATAGCATCAGCACAAGACGCATTTATGTACTCATGTTGTTGATGTTCTTGAGTTCCTTTCGTGTTAAATGCACCATGGGAACCTAACATTTGCAGGATTTCTAATTTATATCATAAAGACTTAAAAGCCTTAAACACCAAACAAGATTCAAAAGACTATTTCCTATCAGCTTTTCTTTGAAGGACAAAACAGGATTTCATCACCCTTCCCCTCTCCCGTCTTCCCTCTTCCCTCTCCCCTCCCAGAAAAGAACAAGAAAGAAAGCTTATGTGGATACCGTAATGGATTTATTGAGAACTGGTTATTGAACAACAGTGGCTAAGTTGATGAAAGAGTTGGAATCATAAGAACAGTTAAATATGTGCAATTAACCTTCATTATCATCGTCAAAATCGAAGTCCAGTGTATTCCTTACAGATCTGAAGAATGAGGTCACAGCGCCACCAGGAATATCATCCAAGGACCCAATGGTAATACCATCTATCTGAAAGAGTTAAAGAAGGTATGATCAGATTTCAATGATATTTTTGAGACACTACAGTATGAACTGCAACTCCAAAGTGCAAAAAGAAGAAGATGAATTGACTCCATCTCATAAACAGCTAAAAAGGTTTTTCAGTATTTAATCATTAACCTCTAGTTCAAGAAGGGGTTTAGATGACGCAAAACCTACTACACTGATGAAAGCAGCCGACTTACACATGAAGGCGTTCCTTACTAGAACTAAGTGCTATATTTCACAGTATCAGAAATGAAAATTGAAATCGAGAACGAGTTATTCAGTACCGAGTCAAGAGCTGCTTTGAAAAGCTCAGAGGCCCTTCGCATTTCAGGTTTGTCAGGAAACACCTACAAATAGAGAGATCTTGTCATATCTGCTTCTGTGCATTCAAGTGAATTATAACTTCTACACAAATAGAATGACAAAGTTTCTTCTCACCACACAAGCTCTAGTTTCCTTCTTTTCCTGAAGCTTCTGAACTACAGCTAGTACAAGTTGGATATTGGCATCACTGAACTCATCCGAAGATCCCTTTACATTTTCAGGAATTTAAGAGTTGAGTCATTGCATGGTTGCATAGCAAATCATATGCAAACTATGAGAGATCATAATTATCCAGAAAAATAGAATGACTCCTGACAACAATACGTCATTAGCACAGAACTAATGTAAGACAGTTAACATGATACCTTGTAAGAAGAAATGCTGGTGGGCAAGGGCCTGAAGATGTAAACCAATGGAGAGTTGAACAAACAGGAAAAGTTGTCAGGAAAGAAGCAACGACAAAATTAGTATTGAAAGAATAAGCATGTACCCAAAAAGGGTATATTCCAATTGAACTTCATGAACATATTTAAAATTCAAAGGCAAAGGTAATGTACTGCTGACACCATCTTAAAAAGTCCTTGAAGTGTTCTGATTTGGAAAATGACCTGACTTGAAGTTTGGTAATAAAAAAAAATGTTCATTTTATATGATGAAGATATTCAGTAAT